AAGCTTAAGTGTGAGTTGCAGGTTACAGTTGGAGCTTGTGTTTTTGTCAGCATGTGCATGCGTGTTGGCATGGGTTAAAATATTTATAGCAAATATCCCATCTCTAATTTGACGTCATGTCTCTCCTGTCCTCAGACAACAGAGGTAGAGGGGAAGAGGAAACACTCAGGTTCTCTTATGGTGTCCGTGGATCAGCTCAATACGTCCTTTAGCCGGAAAGAGCGAGCAAACAGTGCAATGACTGTTGTCACCAACACACTTGTGGAAGGTATGAGCCATCCATCCATCCATCCATCCATCCATCCATCCATCCATCCATCCATCCATCAATTTATCCATCTGTCTACAGTATTTTTCTAATCATATACACTCAAAAAAGTATTTTGATGCTTGATCAAACTACTTATTTAAAATGAGCTGAAATAACACAATACTTGAGATTTTTTTAGATGTTCAGTCCACCTAAATTTGTTAAGATAACTTAATCGATTTGTGTTGGGACAACATGAAAGAATTGTGTGGGACCCTGCATTCTTTTTACAGTTTACTTTCATATTCAAAAATACTAGCCTCAGTAATTTTTGTCTCTTTCTCTTTGTCTGCACAGAGCTGGAGGAGTCTCAGAGAAAATGTCCGCCCTGCTGGTATAAATTTGCCAACACATTCTTGATATGGGAGTGTTGTCCAATCTGGATAAAAATAAAGGAGATCGTGAACCTCATAGTGATGGATCCATTTGTAGATCTGGCTATCACTATCTGTATTGTGCTGAACACAGTGTTCATGGCCATGGAGCATTATCCCATGACTCCGCGCTTCGAGGAGGTGCTTTCTGTTGGAAACCTGGTGAGATTTTTTTAATTATGTTTTTTAGACAATGTGGAAAATGATCCGGAACGTAATTATAGAGTCATGTGAATGCAAATCTTAGAATGTTTCAAATGCAAAATTATATGTATCTAAACTAAGTTTGGGAACTTACCACAAAATATAAAACAATATTAAAACTATAATAATTATAAAGAAGAGCATAGGAAATCTCATAAAAATTCTAAATGTAAATAAACAAAATGTAACAATATTCTTCTGTTCATACGTATGACACATTTGATGTACTTAACATATTAATAGCAATAAATGATGCATAATTACATCTATTAAATCACTAACTAACTCATTTTCCTTTCAATTTAGTCTCTGATTTATCAGGGTCGCCACACCGGAATGATCTGCTTGTATCTAACTATAAAAACAAAAGCTGCAGTAGCTGCTCTTTTTTTTTTTTATTGATCATTAATTTGCTTTTAGGCTTAGTCCCTTTATTTATCAGGGGTTGCCGCAGCGGAATGAACCACCAACTTATATACTGTAGCATATGTTTTAGGCAGAGGATGCCCTTCCAGCCGCAACCTAGTACTGGGAAACACCCGTAGACTATGGCCAATTTAGTTTATTCAATTCACCTATAGTGCATGTCTTTGCACCATGACACAGGGAGAACATGCAAACTGCACAGAAACACAAACTGATCCAGCCGGGGCTCAAACCAGCAACCTTCTTGCTGTGAGGCAACAGTGCTCACCACTGAGCCACCATGCTGCTCTTTTTTTTCTTCAAAATTCACAAAATCTATTTGATGAGTGAGTACTTCACGAATCCATCTTACAAACGGGGGTTTTGTCTTATCTTGAATTGCTACAGTAAGTCTATAAAAAGTGTTTGTTTACACTGGAACTATCCCTGCAGTGAAGAAGCCCAGTACCTACGTGGCCATCCATAAACAGAAAAAAATAGCTCCTGCTACAGAGATTTTCTGCAAGAAACTGTTTTATTTAACTGCTAGAGCACCATATGTTACATACAGTTTCATTAATGTTGAATGTTTTACTGTTCTGTTGCTCTATTAATGGTATAAATTGGGTGGCATGGTGGCTCGGTGGTCAGTGCTGTCGCCTCATGGGTGTTTCCCAGTACTGGGTCGTGGCTGGAGGGGCATCTGCTGCGTAAAACATATGCTGGAATAGTTGGCAGTTTATTCTGCTGTGGAGACCTCTGAAGTAGACACTAAGCCAAAGAAAAATGAATAAATGAATGGTATGAAATTTAAAACGTCTTTTTTTAACAAAACAACATTTCTGCTCTCTTTATTTGCCCCCAAAAATGCGGTTTCGATCTTTAATTTAAGGACTTTGCTCAGCAAACCTTTATATATGCATTTAATTGATTGGAAAATCATATAATTAATCTGATTGCATTTTTTAAATCAATTGGCATCCCTAAATTTAGTGGTTTCCTTTCTCAGCCCTAAGCATCTCCCCATTTCTGTAATGAGCAGCAACACTGGACCCTGTCCCACATTTCCATTTAAAGTTATGTCTCTGGCAACGCAGCGCTGATGTTTTCTCCTCGGTATCTGATATGCCTACAGTGAAAATGCAGTCTGCATTAAACCAATCTTCCACCACCAGGCCTTCTCTAGTATCCTCCATTACCCTTCCACTCCTCCTCATGTTGGATTCAGCGGTTTCGCAGTGTTCATGCTTACGGTACTAAAGAATTGAAAGATATAAGTATAGGCACTTGTACAGGAAGCAAAACATTAATATTTCAGTCAGCTCTGTGGATTAGTACTGTGATGCGATCAGTGGTAGAAACATTTTTTAAAAATTAGCCAAACTGGCCTATTTCACAATCATAGCATGCAGTGTTTTAATGAAAATAGTGTTGGAAAGTTGGTTAAATGGTGCATTCCTGTGAATTCCAGTTACTTCTAAAAGACTATCTATTCTGTAGATTCTATCTATTCTGTAGTTTTGCTTAAAACCAAACTGAAACAAATACTGTGTGTGAGCAGATGGACCACAAAACCAGTTGTTTTCATTTTTTGAAATTGAGATTTATATATCACCTGAAAGCTAAAATTGATGCATGTGATATTTGAATCAAACAATATTAAGCTGACATTAAACTATGGTAACACTTTATAATAACTACACACTATGAATTATAGACTACTAATAAATGCAAATGGTTTGTAAATAATACACTGCTTAATTTAGAATTGAAAAATTAAACAGTAACAAAAGAGAAAAGTACAATTATTAAGCATATTTATTATGTAATAATATTGTTAAGAACACAGCATTTGTAGCTGTATTTATAAACTGCTTACTAATCGTCACCTTGGAATTTTAAGGTTCTGTCTGCATTCTGAATGATTTTGAGATATTGAGCTTCAAAGTTTATGAATTCTATAGAAAACAGTATGTGTGTAACATTCGTTTTAATTCGTCTAAAAATTAAAAAAAAAAACTTACAGAAAACATCCCTTAATGTAAATAAGTTGTTATTTAATAAGAATATTCATTCATTTATTTTCTTGTCGGCTTAGTCCCTTTTATTAATCCGGGGTCGCCACAGCGGAATGAACCGCTAAGCTATCCAGCAAGTTTTTACGCAGCGGATGCCCTTCCAGCCGCAACCCATCTCCGGGAAACATCCACACACACATTCACACACACACTCATACCCTACGGACAATTTAGCCTACCCAATTCACCTGTACCGCATGTCTTTGGACTGTTGGGGAAACCGGAGCACCCAGAGGAAACCCACACGAACGCAGGGAGAACATGCAAACTCCACACAAAAACGCCAACTGAGCCAAGGCTCGAACCAGCGACCCGGCGACCTTCTTGCTGTGAGGCGACAGCACTGCCTACTGCGCTGCTGCTACCCCTTAATAAGAATATGTCAATAACGAAATTTTGACAAAAATGGTAGATAGAACTTTATAATTCTAAGGTGACGTAATGTACTGGGTACTAATTTTCTCAACATAAGCTCATTCTGAAAATGTAGCCCTATATAAGTTTCTGGAGATTGTGAATTATGTAGCCGGAAGTACGTATGGCTGCATTTAATTTTTAAAAACGAACGCTACAAGGTGGTTTGATGCTATTCCTTACCTCCGTTTGGATGGCTTTCCCACTGTTACCAGTTTGCAGTTAGCTCGTTATGTACATCGAGGACGCAGAGAAAAGTTAACCACGATGCGTCTGGTAAGGAACGGTTCCAGAAAGACAAAACCAAAATCCAAAAAATTAAATAAACAAGTAAATAACAGGGTGAGAATGTGGTAAAGTTTGAGAAATTTGAGATCTCAAAAACACAGCAAAAAAACGTAGCTCCTGGAACATATTTGATGGTCTCTAGAAATGTATATAGGGGTACATTTTCAGAATTAGTCTGGGTTGAATTATCTACTTAATAAATTAGAGTTAATGCTTAACAACTGATAAATTAACTTTTTGCTAATGCTTAATAAATTATTTATAGTGTGTAAGTATTATAAAGTGTTGCAAAACCTATTTGAAAATGTGGAATTTGAGGGTTAATAAAAATCTATATATTCAGAATAAAGGTCTAAATCACAGGTGTCAAACTCAGTTCCAAAAGGGCCGCAGCTCTGCACAGTTTAGTTCCAACCCTAATTAAACACACCTGATCAAACTAATTGAGTCCTTCAGGCTTGTTTGAAACCTACAGGTAAGTGTGTTGGAGCAGGGTTGGAACTAAACTGTACAGGGCTTCGGCCCTCCAGGAATTGAGTTTGACACCCCTGGTCTAAATAAAAGTGCTTAGCAATGCACATTACTAATCAAACATTGAGCTTTGATATACAGTAGTTGCAGTAGGAAATTGACTAATAATCTCCATAGAACATTATCTTTACTTAATATTCTAATGATTTTTTGGCATTTAAAATTTGATCATTTTGACTCATACATTGTACTGTTGTCTATTGACAAAAATGTTTCCAACATAAGACTGGTTTTGCGGTCAAGGGAAACATAAAATAACCAAAACAAGCAATGGATCCAAAAGCCTAATTACATAGTATGAGTTCAGAAGTTCAGACGTGGACAATACTTCTATGTTCTCTATGTTCTCTTTTTGTCACTTCCAGCCGTAGTCGAATGTATTTGATTGAGTTGCACAATGTATGAACATTCTTGTATACGAATGCATAAAATCACAAAACACCACCTTCTCTCAGACGACCAGTTGTAATCGAATAACTGAAAACATGATAAAACCATGTTGCTTCAACAAACATTTTTGTCTTCTTTCTCTTATTTCTATTTCAGGTGTTCACAGGTATTTTCACTGCTGAGATGTTTGCAAAGCTAATAGCCATGGATCCATACTATTACTTTCAGGAGGGCTGGAATATCTTTGATGGCTTCATTGTGAGCCTGAGTTTAGTGGAGCTGGGGCTGGCGGATGTAGAGGGTCTGTCTGTGCTCAGATCCTTCAGATTGGTGCGTTATCATGCCACACACTTGTTTTGTTTTGTTATAGGAATAAAATTTGATCATTTTTGCAAGCAATAGTCATTTGTACTTCATTTTTTTTGAAGATATCTTTAAAGACCTTTAGGATGCAAAAAATTGAACCAGCATGATAGTAAATACACCTTATTTATAATAGATCCCTCAAAAAAAGATCACTAAAATAATGAATAGCACAACTATATTTAATATATTAGAATACTGGTTAAATTTTAGCACCAAATCAGTATGATATGGTATTTAAAAACTCTGCTTTGCTATTAAATGTTCATAATGTACCCGTATACTTATTTATGCATGAACCACACTTGCTCACCGGTAAAGCAAAGTCTACACAAATAACATGCCTACTGGACATTTGTAGTATACTATGTAGTATACTTGTTCCTGCTGCTTGCATATCACTACTGTGCTGTCATTGCAACACTGGTAAAATGAAGCCTAAGTGTTTGTTCAGTAAAATGTGATTATTGGTGGGGTTTTTTCTAAAATCATTTAACAATCCAGGCGCACAGTCTAAGGAGCAGGGCGCAAAAGCATTAAGGGCATGTCCGAATCCACTTTTGGTATTTCAAGTACGGAAAAATAAGCGCATGGTCTGACAGAGTTGGGCTTATTCTCTTAATGAGATTTGGATGTGTTTTGAGCATTACATGCATTAAACCAACCAGAGTCTTATCTCTCATTACCTTTAAGAGTCAGTTGTGTCATGCCATGGTGCATTTGCTATTTACATGACAGACTTTGTAAGTGAAAAAACTGAATGCTTCACTAGCGAAAAAACAGTTAAACAGACCATCTGCAGTGCGCGTATAACGAACGAACCTCCTCCATTCAGCTTCTGTACTTTCTCTTTACATTACCTTTATGCTTTACTTTACTCCTTTACTTTCATGGATAAGGAAACAGTGTTGCATGCACTCCACTGAAGACATTCATTAGCCTACATTTTTAATTTAGTTTGTTTAGCGCAAAGATTTGTTCCAAAACTATTTCTAAATTCAGTTCTAATTTTCAGCAAATGAATAAATGAAAAATAATAATGAAGTGTGGTCAAAAAACTGAGTTATATCCAAACACATGTCCTATTCTTGTGCCCAAATGTGGTGATGTACACGCCTCCAAACCTGACAGGGGGATAAATCTAAACTTGTTTTTATTAATTTACAAATATAAATATGCTTATGATAAATAATACTGATAATAATAATAATAACATTATACAAATGCAAATTGTCCAACTGAAAAAACAAAATGACATGGAAAAAGTTATGGAGGTAGTGGTTTTATATTTTTATATACAGAAGAAATTAATAAATTTTTGTAACATAATTATTATTTTTTTTTATATATGCAAAGATATTTGTGTATTGCTGTATTAAGCAATGTGTACACGTTTTGGACCTGCGTAGGCACATAACTAACACGCTCTGCGCTGGACTTTAGACCAGTTTTTAGTTGGCCAATGGCGTGGTCTTTTTCAGTTTCCTAAAATAGTAACATGTTAACAATGCTCCTTAACGCACCTACTTTTTAGACAGAAACACCCATGAGTTCACAAAGATTTGTTATTAAAACAATGTGCCAGAAAATGTGGAAACTACTGTTGCGCTGGTCTAAAAATAGCAACAAATCGCGCCAAACACCCTTTTGTGCTTTATTGCACCGGGTGTATAATAGGACCCATTGAGTTAAATTACAAAATGACTTTTTATATTATTATTATTTTTAAATATATTTATTGAATTTGACTTAACACTCAGACAATACAGAAATAAAAAAAGACTCTGTCACATTTTAGGTGAAATTTGAAAGGTCCCCAAACTCCCTCAAAGTCTTTATCTTTTAATATAAAAGTTATCTTTTTCATTGTCATGTTTGTAACCATGTCTTTCAACCAGCATCCTATATTTTCTGTACATATATTTTTCCTATATTTTATTTTTATAATTTTTCATATATTTTAAAGAAAAAATCCATTTAGCTTGAAGAATACATTTATTTATGAATATACATTCAGTCTGTTAATTCTCAGTTTCCTTGACTTATTTAAAAAAACGATAAATATTATAACCAAATATTTCAGCAATGTGCATTCAGAATTTTCTATTTCAATTTTGGTTTTGGCTCAGAATTTTAATTAGTGTTTATTTTGAATGTATTTGTGAATTACAGCTGAGGGTGTTTAAGCTGGCTAAATCATGGCCTACTCTGAACATGCTGATCAAGATCATTGGTAACTCAGTGGGAGCTTTGGGAAACCTGACCCTGGTGCTGGCCATCATCGTCTTCATCTTTGCTGTGGTGGGAATGCAGCTGTTTGGGAAGAGCTATAAGGACTGTGTTTGTAAGATCGCTGAGAGCTGTGAGTTGCCCCGCTGGCACATGAACGACTTCTTCCACTCCTTCCTAATTGTGTTCCGGGTGCTGTGCGGAGAGTGGATCGAGACCATGTGGGACTGCATGGAGGTGGCGGGACAGTCAATGTGCCTCATTGTGTTCATGATGGTGATGGTCATCGGAAACTTGGTGGTGAGTTATAAAGTTTGTCTGAAAGTTTTTTACTACTGTTTTCTGTCTCACTTTAAGAAATGTTTGGAAAGGGTATCTTATAGAAAAGTTTGTAGTTCAAAAGGAAGCTTGTGGGTTAAGGCTGGACGATATACAGTTGAAGACAGAATTATTAGCCCCCCTGTTTATTTTTTCCCCCAATTTCTGTTTAACGGAGAGAAGATTTTTTTCAACACATTTCTAATAACTGATTTATTTAATCTTTGCCATGATGACAGTAAATAATATTTGACTAGATATTTTTCAAAACACTTCTATACAGCTTAAAGTGACATTTAAAGGCTTAACTAGGTTAATTAGAGTAACTAGGCAAGTTGGGATAATTAGGCAAGTTATTGTATAACGATGGAAAGAAAAAATATAGCTTAAAGGGGCTAATAATATTGACCTTAAAATGTTTTTAAAAAAATTAAAAACTGCTTTTATTCTAGCCGAAATAAAACAAATAAAACTCTCTCCAGAAGAAAAAAATATTTAAAGTTTCCTTTCTGTGGGGGGCTAATAATTCTGACTTCAACCGTATATGGAACGGTATTACAATCAGCGTTGGGCTCGTTCCCTTAAAAGAGAATTAGTTGTAGTTACAGGGAAAGTAACTATAAAATAAATGTATAAAATAAACTATATAAAACTATAAAATGACTTTAAATAAATACTGTATAAAACATACTATGAAATAATGCTAAAATAAAAATAAAACATTGTACACTAATCCACCCTATTTTAATGTTGTTGTGGGACAATGTGAGAGACAACCTTCAAATTCAACATATCATTATAAATATTAACATAAACATTCTTACCTTTCACATCAACGAGGGAAAAGTAGTGTTTATATTTACAGTTTGCAAAGGCTACATTAGGGTTGGGTCGATAGACAATGCCATCATCCATTGCTGATGGCAGATAGACATCATGATACTCAGCTGGCATCGCGACCCTCTACCCTGCCCCTGTCGCAGCAACAACCCGCTTGCAAAAAATACACATGGCCTCAATTACAAAAATACGTCTTAGTTTTAAAAGGGCATTTTAGAATGAAAGCAATCCTAGTCCACACTGTTTTTTACCTAGCATTTCTGAACAGCTTCTGCGCTTCTGCAGTATATGCGCATATCTGAGCTCTAGGCAATCAGTATGGGGTGCTTAGAGCACAAAACCGACAGAGAGCAGTGCACGTTGTACAGTTTAAGGATGTACAGCTGGACCACTATAACGTTAGTTAAAGGTGATATTTAATAAATCTTGTCTTTATTCAACGACTCAGTCTTTTAAATCTGTCAGGTAATGTCACAGCGTCAGTACACTGCTTCAGTCATTCGCTTTCACGCTTGTACTTAGTCATTTTAGTAAAAACCTCAGAGACTGTTGGTTGGATTCTGTTGGTTGGGCACCTTTTTACCAACCAAGTTTGTTGACGCCATTTTAACGACACAGAAGACTCAGTCTGTTCATGCAAGAGTCCAGCAAAAAAAAGTGTTTGGCAGGTGGTAATTTGTGTGTACATTATCTTTATTTATTTATTGTTTGATTACTTATGAGTAAAACAAAGACCATGCGGGTCAGGTGGTTGATACGGTAGGCTATAAATAATTAAGTCGTTATAAATTAAATAGTTATTCATATACAATTAATTCACCGCTGCCTACAATGACGATGCCATCGTCCATCGCAATGTTTCACATTAGACATCGTACAATGTCAAATTGGTCGATATCACCAAACCCTAGGCTACATTTGAACTTTTTGGATTTGCCATTGTTCTGACTCCTGGTCGTTGGTATGCTCTTGACCGTGTGTGTGCTTGTGTGTGAACACTCGCACTATTCTTCCTTTGATTGGCAAATGATGGAAATGTACTCCATCTAATACAATCATCAGGTTCTCAGTTACACCACGTTCAGAGATGATTATGTGTCCTGCCTCAGCCCTGAACACACACACTCCCACCCCAGAGAAAGAGAGGTCATATGGCTGAGATAATGCTCACATGAAAATTGCTTCAGTGATCGCAGTTAAAGAAATGCACACTTTATTGTCAGCAATGGTAATGATGTTGTAGCGGGAACCAATCAATGAATTACACGTTACTGAAAAAAGTATGGCCATTAGGAACGCTGTTTATTTATAGCACTGTTATTTCCATCACTGATTACATTATTGCTTAGCTGCTATTTCATTAAATATTACTAAAATAATAAATAAAAAAGGAGAAATTTTAATTAAAGTAATAATGTTTGTAGCGGGATTTTACAGTATAATCAAATTACTTTTATTTCAGGATTTTGTTATTACAATATATGTAAAGTTTATGTTGATTTATTTATTGTTTGATATTTTATTATGAAAATCCAAAATAATTTTGAATTGATAAACATTATGAACTGGAGAAAATTGTGGAATTTTTATTTGTTGTTGTTTAGTTTTTAGTTTTTCTAGAATTTTTTATAGTGTAGCTTCTCCTTAATTTTTTCCCTTCAAAAAATAATAAACTTTTGCCATTAAAAAAATACATCTGTTTTGCTATTTTAATTTAAATTTACTAATTTTTCTCTGCAGATGATTTCCGAGCAGTCATCTCACTCACTCTAAAAAAAGCTGATTCTCTCTATATATTTTCTTTTCTCCAGTCATTTGTTGAAATATTTTTCTATATAATTTTTATTCCCAATATTATGCAGACCTATAATTGGCCCCTATATATTATAATAATTAGTGGATTAAATAATGGCCACTTATTTGGAAATCATCAGAAAATGATCATCCCGGATTCATTGTGGCCATTAAAGTGGACATATTAAACAGAAATGAACAAGTTGCACAGCCAATAAATGTGAAATCTAAAGCGCTCCTGTTTCTCTTGACCAGGTGCTGAACCTGTTCTTAGCCTTGCTGCTGAGCTCCTTCAGTGCTGATAATCTGGCTGCCACAGATGATGACGGTGAGATGAACAACCTGCAGATCTCCGTCATCCGCATTAAGAAAGGCATTGCTTGGTTCAAAATTCATGTACGGCTGCTGGTGGCCCACGTCCTGAAGAAGAAACCTCTGGAAGATGAAGACAAACCGCTTGATGACATGTATGACAAAAAACTGAACTTAATGGGCAACCACACCGGCGTGGAAATCAAATGTGGTGATCTGAACTACCCCAAGAACGGGAATGGCACCACAAGTGGCATTGGGAGCAGCGTGGGAAAGTACATGATTGATGAGGAGCCCATGTCCTTCATCCACAACCCCAACCTGACTGTACGGGTTCCCATTGCTGTTGGAGAGTCCGACTTTGAGAATCTGAACACGGAGGACTTCAGCAGCGAATCGGATGTGGAAAATAGCAAAGATGTGAGTATTATTAAAGTTTCTTCAATGAAGTTGGCTTTGTTTGCAACAACTTGCAAAGTTTAATTTGTAGTTGAATGGAAAATTGCTGACATTTGATATTAACTTATATGTACTTGCATAAAAAATAAATATAATATATTTACTGTGTTCATAATGTATTCTGGCAGAACACTTATGGTAGTCTTGAGTTGGGATACGGGTATGGTTAGGGATAGGTTTGGTGGTATGGGTAGGTATTAGGCTGGGTCAAGTGTAAGAGATGCTTAACAGTGTAATTAAATATTAAATTATAAAAATGCCATGCATGCATTTAATCAATCATGTAAAAACATGTATTTACACAATATGTACATTGCATCAAATGGTTTATTTCAGTGTACCGTGTTCAAGTACATATTAAGGCCACCTAATATAAAGCAGAACCAAATTTTGAAAACTGCTAGCCGAATTTACGTTTTAGCATCACAAACTGATTTTAACTGGCAATCAGGTCTTTTATTTAGAGGGCAGGATTCTATTGTTTCCATATTGCAATTTGCAGACTTACTCATTCATAGTAATAACGGCTTTTATGTCTTTTTAGACTAATAAAAATCTGACTTACACAAAGAAAATCTGCTCAAAAGCATCATTCACGTTCATAGAATGTGCTGGAAGTGAATAATGGATGATAGTTGTTTTCGGCAAAGGCAAATTTTAAAACTGACGTTTGATAATGCTATTTATTTATTTATTTATTTATTTAACTTGGAATGGTTTTTACTTATTTAAATTAAATATTTACTTTAATGCTCAAAAGATATTTTTATAAATAATTAAATATAGTATATAGAGTATAATTCTACTTGTTTAAATTACTATTGGCAAATTAACTTTATAATATAAACTTTATAATATAAAATAGCCCCACGTGACTTACTTAAAGGTGCTGTATATAAATTTATGACTCTTCTAAAGCATAAAAATACCATAATATGTTTGCAGATGTTTTAGAAAAATGCTAACCTTATTGTTTATCTGAAAAAGAATGCTGAAGTTAGTTATTCTGCTTTGAAAATGTCCTATGTCCAAACGTCTTTTTGTTTTGGTTCTTTTAACCCACCTACAGCCAGTGTAGCCAATTATATTTCTGCACCCCGGATTACCTTGCTGGAAAACTGTATATTTGATTCATTCAGTCAGGAAGGCTCCTAAAGCGTGCGTCTGAAGCTAAAAATGCAACCTCCGTTGGACAGCAGCAGACTACAAGTTCTACATGAGATGGTTATTAATTAGCAAAGAATATAAATAATATGAATGGAACCATTAGGTAAGAAGGTTACATTGTAACCCTGTGGTCCTAACAACACGCTCCACGACCAGACTAGCAGTGATAAGCTGTTTGGCTGTTTGCACTAGACGAAACATGACAGAAATTTAAATACAACCATTCAGAAGCACACAATATGTGCACTTACTGCACTACTAAATAAATACATATTACACTTCTTTAACATTATTACATATAGATGCTGAATCACTGATATGTGTTGGCTTGCACCGAGTCACAGTTCTAAAGTTCAATTTCAAAGTTTATTTTATTTTCAAGATCAGAGGTGAACTATCTGCTGCTGCTTTCAGTATATGGCAATAAATGTCATGTAAAATGGCATTCAAACTAACATCGTTAACATTTAACAGTGAATAAAGCATATGAAGCGTACCTGAGTTGATCGTTGTCAGTTTTTTTTTGTTCAGCTGCAAGAAATAGAAGCCGTTTCTAATATATCTATTCCAGGTGTTGGTTAGGACAAAAACTCCTTTTAATATGAAAATTCTCCTTCTATTGCATGTCGTTGCATTTATTTAGAACACGACTTTAATCAGCCTTTAGGCTCGATAGTCAGGCAAACTCCTGCTGGTGTGGTCAGTCTGGTAAACTGTGCTTGCATGTGTTTTGAACCAAGAGTGCAATACCACGTTCAACCACTGGGTGTCAAACTTACATGCTGCATCTTTAAATGTAGTGTAAACAGAGTAGAATAGAATATTATACTAGTAATTAATGATAATGAATATACAAAATATGCAGTTAAGATAATCATCATATGGCCGCATTAACTATAAGCCTTATATATACAGCGTACCGTATAAGGCTGAAGCAAAGCTGTGGAAAATTGTGTACAGCTCTTACAGTATTCTTTGAGGAATTGAAAATGGCTTACTACTGCTTACTGTACAGAATTCACAGGGATCATCATTTTGAGTCCATGTTGCTTTTTTGCCTCATTTTATTTCAGAAAGAGTTAGTTTGTGTAGGCTGGCAGAGACCGGCTTTCTCTTTCCTGGCACATTTCAAATGATTGTGTAACTTTTCATTGCATCTCTTTAGACATTTCCTGAGGTTTTATCCTAAAAAAAATCCTTAATTATTATTTTACAAATGACAAAAACGACACAAAATGATCAGGATTGCATTAACTTGTTGTATACGGTCATTTTCTATGTGATACATTGGTGGCTAAATGCATTATGCATGCTTTAATGAATCAAAGGAGAAACTGTAATTAAATGGAGTAATATGATGAGACGATGTGTGTATTTGTAGAGCGTAGACTAGATGAAGTCTGTCTCAGTAGTCGATTACAGCAGTATGGGTGGATTAAGGCTTCGCAGGCAGTATAAGAATGTTGAGTTGTGCTATTCCTGTGATTTATTGCCTTGCTGCTTCTGCTGAGTGCTGAGCCACTCAGCCAGAGAATAGATGCAGTCCACCAGATGATGTAATGTTTTCCCTTTGTATGTGTGCGCTCGTACACGTGCATATATGTGTGTGTACGCTTCAATATAATTGCTTTATTAAACCTCTGGTAATTCCCTCAAAAACAAAGAGCATTGCTAGTTTTATGTACTAATTAGCATGCTGTGACTGAACCAGATAAACAGTGTCAGCAGTGATTTGTTATCATGTGTTGCTCAAATTGAGAATTTACCTTTGGCCCTCGAAGTGAATGGAAAGAGTGAAGGATTGACTGAGTAAAGGTGCATGCGCAGTGAAAATGTGAGATGTTGGTTATTGATATTAAACGGACTCTCCTGTCATTGTACTGCTCTCTGTGCAAACACCGGGTCACCTTGACCCAGTTTAGACGTAACAGATCCAGTACTGCTGAACTACATGTGCTGAACATCCAGCCAGTGGCATCAAGGCAGATCTTTTCTGTTAGCCAAACAGAGCAGCGCTGGGCGGGACTTTGTTTCTGATTGGCCAGGCTGGCTCAGGGAAAACTGCAGTGCTGGTGTGTGAGGGCTCTTTGATGCTTCTGATGCTTTCGACTGCCAGTGTGTGTGTGTGTGTGTGTGTGTGTGTGTAATAACGATTTGGCTTTTATAAAAGTGCTGTGTCATCCTGGCCTGCTGCGATCAGGGTCAGACTCTTCCGGTTGACAGAGGCATGTGTTTTTTTATGTTTGTATAGGTTTATGGGGTTGTGTATGCAGTCTTATGAAAAGGAATTGTATTTAGATAGTTCAGAAGTTTTTTTTCTCTTATGAAAACAATGTTCTAATAAAATATGTAGACATCATCATTATTTAATACAATAAACTATTACAAGTATTATATATTATAAGGTATTATTCTGACTGGCCTAGTCCTTTCAGTGTTTCTTAACACTTATGTAATTAAAATGTTTATATGATTTGTTAACATAATATAATATAATATAATATAATATAATATAATATAATATAATATAATATAATATAATATAATATAATATAATATAATATAATATAATATTATATACATTGATGTAACTTTGTTTTTTTCTCTTTTAAGGCCTTGGTGACTTAGGTTGGACATAAGTTTTAGATATTGAATTGTTTTCAGTTAATATTCAATTAATTTCAATGAATACAATGAATAGAACTAATAATGTATTAATATAACATCTAATATTAAGTTTTAATAGATTAGATTAGATGTAAATACAGATGCGTTGTACAATAACATGCAACAAAATCAATACACTACTCCTGATTTGCATAAAATACAGCAAAAGTCATTCATCACTGTCTGATTTGCATATGTAGATGATAGTTTGTAACCTTGTTAGTTCAGTTAGTGTTGAGTCAAGGTTAATTGTGTCTTGGGTGAATGTTAATTAAACTGGACACCCAGAAGAACTGTGAAGGTTAGCGCTAGGACACATCTGGTCAGTCAACGTTGGGTTATTTACTTGCATTGTTCACTTGTGTTTCCTTGTGTGTTGCTAACATCAAAACTGATGTTGAATGGTGATATGGATATATGCTTATGTCTTTTTTGTTCATATTCATCGATGTAAAGTTCCTTTGGCTGTCTACATTGTAAAAAGCAGTATAAAAATAAAGATGAATTTAATTACTTATAAAAAAAAGTCCTATTGTTACAATTTAATAAGTTGTTTAGGGAAAGAAAACATAACATTTAGAAAGTTATATTATGACTGATGAAAATGGATGTATATAAACAAAAACAAACAAACTTAACGTATAATTTGTGTATTCCTCTATAAGGAAATATGATAAAGCCAACCAATAAGCATGTATGAGATTTGTACAAAGCATTTGAAAATAAATAGAAACAATCACAGAAATATAACCAAACCAAAAGTTACAGGGGGGGAAAGGAACTAGAGTGCCACCAAAGCAAAGAACTAAACAAATCCAACAGCAACATAAACTAGAACTAAAGGTGATAGGGCGAGGGCAAAAGCAAACAACAGACAGGGAGAGAGAGAGCGACAAAGGATACAACTCCTATCGATCGTAACACACATTTAATTAGAAAAGGTTTTATGTTAACTAACAATAGGCTGTTTTGAGCACACATGTAAATGCATACATTCTGTTTGATTCATACTGGAAGCTAGAGGGTGCCCTTATACATTAACTCTACAGATGCATCACAGAAGTACAGACATCCCACCATTGCTGTAGCTGATTGAAACAAAAATAGAAACACTTTGGCTGCGTCCGAAACCGCCTACTACTCAGTAGGTACTGCATTTGAATTTAAACGTACTACTCGGCCGTTAGAAAAGTACGTTCTATACAGTATGAATGTGAAAAGTATGAATGGAATTCGGACATACTACATCCGCCATTTTGTCATGGTCATGTGATCTACCTGCATCAGTTGCGTCGCCTCACTTCCATTCATGAATTCTCTCACGGGGCATTATGGGATAGCGCAGCGTGCATGGGATGCGCACTTCAGAATTTCGCCGGAAGTAGTAAGTCATCCGGGTACTTCTCGCCTACTGATTTTCGAATTCTATGAATTCGGACAAACTACTCGGCTCGTATACTGATTTTGGCGTACTATATAGTATGGAAGTATGCTGTTTTGGGACGCAGCATTTATTTTTAAGGTTGTTGCAAGATCGCATATGGTTGTGGCCGGATGTTAACGAGAATTATTTATTCAATTTCCCATTTATTGTATTTTATTAACGTCTACCCCCACCCCAACTCTAAACTTGTATTATTTATGCTTTCTATTAAATTACCCAATAAATTGTATTGTGTAATTTGTACTGTACTCTCACAGTACTGTAAAAATATCAATTATTGTTATACAGTATTTTATTGTTATATTATCGCACTTCCGGCTGGCCACGTATCCGATCTAGACTTCACCATTTTTAAGTGCAGTTTAAGCCTCCTTGGTGACAAATACATTTATAATGCAGAGCTAATCTACAGTTCATCCTTTATCTCTGTGGGCTATAGAATCCTATTAAACAGTATGTTTTCTTCCTCGTTCTGTAATATGAAACCACGTCTTGTCACAAAAAACGTTATTTTAAACACCTGATTGTTTTAAAGGGCCATGACACCCCCCACTTTCGGTTAAAGTCTACTTCAGAATTTTTTCAAAAGATGCATGATTAATGGGTGTGGAGCTCCGCGAGCATCGGGCAGGAGTGGGCGTGGCCAGCAGGGGAGAAGGGGAGCGAACAAAGCTAGCTCACAAAATGAGACAAACCGTGAGACGCATGAGTTTATAGTTTACAAAGTTAAAATGCAAAGAAATAAATAGTGATTTAATGTCCTGCTACATTTGTTATTCGTAATTTCATATACACATAACCACAATTTATATAATTATAAAGGTAAGTGTGTTCATGTAAACCGTATAAATGGGGACTTCTCCCTCAATCCCCGTATCCAGCAGACCCCGTATGCAGCAGGTCTCCTGACCTGTCTATTTTAACCGTTAGCCCTGCTGGTAATCTGGAGGATTTAGGCAAACACAGCAGCACAGTGATGTGTCTGAATGTGAGTGAACTCCTAATAAAAGACAGCGTCCACCATTCTCTAATTCTCGTGCTGCTCTCCCGACAAAAATGCTAGCAGCACACACACAGCTTTGCTGTATGATCGGCCCTGACAAGATCGCGGGGGAAAACATGCAACAAACCGCGTGGATCATGCAAACAAACACATACGAGCCTTCATGAACGGCTAAATACTGTGTGCCTGTGCCGTGGGTCCGTGACGTGTCTCACAGCTCGGGCTTGACTCTGGCAAGTCTGGCAGGTCTCATGAATAATTAAGCAGCCGGCTCTTCTCATAGGATAAGAAAACTCCGCTATGAATAATAATGAGAAACCGACGCGTCATCATTGCACTTGCAGTGCTGCGCTACGTCGCCGATTTTGATCCCGCCCCAAAAATCATTTAAAAACCGGAAGCTGAAATTAGCTGACAAAAGCTCAAAATTATCCAGTTTTCCCCACAATTAAAGCTGACAGGTGCTAACATTGATTTAACTGATGCTCAACACACACAAATCTGTTAATATAAAAAAAAGTTATCCAGGGTGTCCTGAACCTTTAAGTGAATTTAGAGTAAAATAATGTCAGTAGCTTGTAAACAGGCTCATACAAATTCAATGCTGTATCACAAACATGCTAATGTGGTATTTATTACACAGACCTTTTTGATAGCACTGTACAGCCCTGACCAAACCAGCTTCCGAATGTAGATTTGATCATTTTTATCATCATCATGGGAAGCATATTTCTTATTGTGTGGAGAATTTCTACCTGTATATCGCAAATCAGAAGATCACCATATGCTGACCTTTTTTTGTGACGTCTGGAAAGTTGATATAAATGGATAATATAGAAGTGGGAGAATAAATCGGAATGAACTAAGTGTATATTGCTGTGCGTTTTTCCACTAGCTGGACGACACTAGCTCTTCTGAAGGAAGTACTATCGATATAAAGCCTGATGAGGAGGAGATGGCTGTGGTGGAGGTGGTGGAAGAGTACTTAGATCCAGAGGCCTGCTGGACTGATGGTGAGCAATGCATGTTTGTAAGATCTAATTGGATAGATTCAATATACCTAATATGTATGTGTGTGTATGTATATATTAAATTCAATATCTAGTTTAAGCTACAATCCTAGTATATACTGTATTTCATGGTAGTAGTACGCTGTAAATCCACAGTTTCTGTATTTTATATTTCACAATTGTTTTCTGTTTGTTTACGATTTTAAATTGCATTATGGGATGTTGATTTCTTCTCTGTCAAATTTTGAAGTTGAAAATTCAACTCTACAGTTTAACAAAGTCACTTTTATTGACATTTTAGTACTTTGAAATACTATAAGATTATATACATAATTTATAGAAAAAAATAAGTCCGTAAAACAACAGAAAACGTACTGGCAGCTTATTACAAGGTTTTTGTAACGTAACACACAGCAACAACCCAGGCAATATATGACTTCAAACAATTAAAAATGTTAATAAAAATAACTTTTTTTTCAAACTTTTCAAAGTTAAGTCCCACAATGCAATTTGAAAGCATAAATAAACTGGGAAATATTCAAAATAAATCACAAAATACAGAAAACAGCTAATTTTCAGTTTTTTTTTTTACAGTGTACATCTGTTTTACTTTTAGAACTACTAAAAAACTTACATTTTAAGTCTGGGTATGATGTAAATGTGTATTCAGCTTACATGTTTGATGTTTTTCAGCTTGTGTGGCGCGCTACAAATGTTGTGATGTGCCTATTACTGAGGGCTGGGGGAAGTACTGGTGGTTTCTGAGGAAAACTTGCTACCTCATTGTTGAGCACAACTGGTTTGAGACGCTCATCATTTTTATGATTCTTCTCAGCTCTGGAGCTTTGGTGAGGACACACACATTGCATAACTTTCTAAGAGACAAAAAAAACAGCAGCTGAAATTATTTGTTACTAATTTCTAAAAAGTGTGAAGACGTACACATTGGTGTTCAAATCAGCTTTGTATACAACTGAAGTCAGATTTATCAGAACCCTTTGAATTTCTCTTTCTTTGTAAAATATTTCCTAAATAATGTTTAACAGAGCGAGGACATTTTCACAGTATGTCTGATAATATTTTTTCTCCTGAAGAAAGTCTTGTTTGTTTTATTTCAGCTAGAATAAAATCCGCTTTTAATTTTTTAAAAATCATTTTAATGTCAAAACTATTAGCCCCTTTAAGCAATATTTTTTTCGATAGTCTACAAAACAAACCTTCGTTTTACAATAAGTTGCCTAATTATCCTAACCTGTCTAGTTAACCTAATTAAGCCATTAAATGTCACTTCAAGCTGTATAGAAGTGTCTTGAAAAGTATCTAGTAAAATAATATTTACTGGCATCATGGCAAAGAAAAAATAAATCAATTATTAGAAATGAGTTATTAAAACTATTATGCTTAGAAATGTGTTGGAAAAAATGTCTCTGTTAAACAGAAATTGTGGAAAAAATAAACAGGAGGCTAATAATTCAGGGTGGCTAATAAGTCTGAGTTCAACTGTATATATTTTTTTCCTGTAATTTATGAAAAATGCACATTTTTTTGCAAATCTAATGCATAATTTAATCAGGATCTCACTATCCCTCATGAATGACAGTTTATTTCAGATTAATTTTCAAAAATTTTAACCATTGAAGCAAGTGATAGCAGTTGAAATATATATATAAGAGCCATTATATTATTTAATACATCTCTGATTGTGTTAATCTGAAAATATTTCTTGGATTGTATTTAAATCATATTTGATAACAGGGTATCATTTGAAATAGTTTAAGTTTGGTCTTTGAAGCTAAACATTTCTTTTAAAGTTTAATACATATTTAATTTATTGTTGAAAGGAAAAAAACATAAGCAATTAATCTAATATAGGCCCTTATTTTGTTCCCTGTTGTTCATTGAAAGCGATGAAAATAACTTGACAGTGTAACTAACCTCAAAAACTCCTTAAGGCATTTTGGGGAGTCAGTGATATAGATTTGCAGAAGCTAAAATAATTAAGGACCATGATAAGTATTCTCTTGGAAGATACACGGGTACTGTATAGATTTTTCATCCTTGCACAATGTATATGTGCAGAACTAATGGTCTCCAGGTAGATTGTAATGTGATTGAGACTGCATAGCATGCAGTGTGCTATATGATCTATGTAAGTAGGTAATGGCTATCACTATATTGCAATGAACCGGCCACTGCACCTCAGCAGTCTGTCTTGGGGCTGCAGTATCTCATGTCTGCTGTTAGGGAGCGTAGCCAAATGCTGTAGAAAAACGTCCACATGCAGAAGATGCTGCTGCTGCCTTTCTTACAGCTACTATTAGGGACCGTGGCCAAACTCCAAATAAAGTGAGCATCTGTGAACTGATGTATGTGGGACTGCAGTGCCACACTCTGGGGATGGCAGGGACTGAAAGTAAAAAGTGTTTTTAGGAAAGTTGTAGGTGAATCGTCATCCATTCATCAAACAAAGTAGTTTATATATATATATATATATATATATATATATATATATATATATATATATATATATATATATATATATATATATAAGATGATTTAATAAATTTGTTAATAATTATTAAAAACTGTTAAATACATATTTTAAAAATAAAAGTTACATTTATATATAAATCTCTTCTGTTTTGTTTTTTAGGCATTTGAGGATGTATATATTGAACAGAGGAAAACCATCCAGATCATTCTTGAATATGCAGACAGAGTCTTCACATACATCTTCATCCTGGAAATGTTGCTAAAATGGGTGGCCTATGGGTTTGTCAAATACTTCACCAATGCATGGTGCTGGCTGGACTTCTTCATTGTGGATGTAAGTAATTTTGCTTAATACCATGTGATCGACAATTTTTGATAAAATGTATCTATACATGAATATGTCATAATGCATTATATATATATATATATATATATATATATATATATATATATATATATATATATATATATATATATATATATATATATATATATCAATGATTTTGAAGAAACACTGATGTTATTTGTTATTATGAACATGTTTTCCATTCTACTCTTTTTGTCTGATCTGTTGTCAGCAGCCTTCAGACGAATCTCTAAATCAAATCAAATCAAATCTGAGGGCTGTGACAGTTTAATGTGTATATTAGTCATGTTTACAAAATATGGTTATGCAGTCATTTTTATGCTTGGTATGTGCTGAAAAAAATGTACTGTAGAAATGAAATGTTCAGAAACATTGGGTCTCTTTCATTAATAATGGCATGCATAAATACATATTTGTACACCCAAGAACTTCACACAAAACATTTCCAACAATTTGTTTTTAACCTCATTCTGATGTTGCTGATTTTGGAGTATTCTAAATGAGTGGTTTTGTGCACAAATTAGTCATTTGCATTAAAAATTGCCCAATCCATCTCCATATTAGGGCTCTCTGCACAATATTTCCTTTACAACTTGTCACTCTTGTCAGCCACACTGTTTAGTTCTCTTGCCAGATCCACAATTTTAGTGTAAATACAAACCAGGGATATTCCTACGCTTCTATGTAATATACTTAAGATTCAATATACATTTAATAGTAAATATACATTAATTATGTTTAATATATACGCACTGACCACTTTATTAGGTACAGCTCTTCAGCTGCCCGTCAATGCAAATATCTAATCAGCCATTAGAAACTCAGTTGGACGTAGTGATAAAAGATAATAAAAAACTTGAAAATCAAGTTAAAAGATGCACAGATGGTGGTGTCAGATGGGCTGATCGGAGTATTTAAAAAATTGATGATCGACTGCAGGCCCGGATTGGCTAATCGGGAGCACCGGGAGAGTTCCCAGTAGGCCGGTTCGATTTTTGGGTGCGAAGGCCGGTGTCACTAGCTGCTTGCATGCTCAGCAGTCACAGTTTTTTCATTCATTTATTTATTTTACCACAACCTCCCTTTTATTATTATTACTTAGTATTATTTTACCACAGCTCTGCTCTTTTTATTTATTTTCTCGCAGCCCCATAAGCAAATATAGCGTTATTAGTTGTCGCGGAAGTGAAAGTGATCAGCGGACGGAGGAGGAGGGCAGTTGAGGAGGGGATCGGTAAAATTAGGTGCCGGATCAGATTTCAGGGGTGCCGAATCCGGCATATTTCAGCTCAAATTAACCCCTCAATTAACGGATATTACACCTGCTCAATGAAAATCAGATGATTTACTACATTAATAATTCTGACATAACCTGATTAGAAATCTAAAAAGCGGAGAAAAAGATTAAGCCATCAATATAAATATTGATAATATCTAAAACGAATTTTGCACAGACTATATATTCAGATTTTGCAGAAAAGGACATTTTGAAGTTTGTCAGGAATATTATTGGAGATTTAACTACCCTTTAATGTTCTCGTATTTATGAAAAATATTTGAAGTTCTAAATCAGCTGTTTCCTTGAAAAATACGTGATCGTGTCATTAGAAACTGAATCGGAAATTACATTATTTTAATATAGTCAGTTGTGAACTGAGGTGGGCCGATCTAAGGCTTGAAAACTCCAGGGCTGAAAAGGAGTCCCACTCCGGCCCTGATCTACTGTGATTTTAACGCACAGATTTATCTAAGATTTGCACAGAATGGTCAAACAAGAGAAAATATGCAATAAACTGCATTTTTTTGTGGGTGAAAATGCCTTGCTGATGCCATCAGACCAGAGAAGAACTGCTAGACTGGTTTGAGCAGATAGAAAAGAAACAGTATCTCTGATAACCCCTCTTTACTACTGAGGTCTGCAGAAGAACACACAACAAAACCTTGAAACAGATAAGCTACAGCAGCAGCAGAATACCACACCGGTGCCACTGTTGTCAAATGAGAAAAATAAACTTGGTCCAAACTTCACACAGACCCACCAAAATCGGATTAGAAAATGTTTTGCCTTGTCTGTTGAGTCTGGATTTCTGCTATAGCATTAGTGCCAACAGCTTAGTATTTGTTGCTGACACTGTCCAACACTTTATGATATCTTGTGATGGCTACTTCCAGCAGGATAACACCCTGTTACAAAAACTGGTTTCTTGAATATTTACTATACCTCAAGAAACCTCCACAGTTACTAAATCTCAATCCAGTAAAGCATATTTGGGGTTTGCTTGAGTGGGAAATTCATATTTGGGATGTCCAGCCAACAGATTTAGTCATTATAGACAAAATCACTGGCAAATGTGTCCAGCATTACATTTACATTTACATTTAGTCATTTAGCAGACGTTTTTATCCAAAGCGACTTACAAATGAGGACAAGGAAGCAATTTACACAACTATAAGAGCAACAATGAATAAGTGCTGTAGGCAAGTTTCAGGTGTGTAAAGCATTAGTAATTTATTTTTTTATTTCAGAGAGGTAGTTGCATAATCAGCAACTTGTTGAATATGTGTCCACTCAGTGTAAACATAATATTATACATACATACATATTAGTGAATGAGACCCATTGCACTTTATCACTTTAAAATAGTTATTTATGGGTAACAAGATTTTTTTTTAAATGAAACTACAGGTACTACATAGCACTCTAGGCCATATTTGTAAATTAAGCAGCAGAAATGGGTGATTTGAAAGGAACTGACGTGGTTTCATTGTCAGAATCTTGAATACATAAACATGACTACCAGTTTTTACATATGTGGCCTATTTTTGTATACAGGGCCAATGGTGTGTACATTTCTTTATGGTCCTAAACGAAAGTGTTTCTAAATGCTAGATATTGTCCCTGACAGGCACTGTAACCTTGTCTCTCTATAGTGCTGATGGACACAAGAGGGCCTGAGGGGCATAAGAGGGCCGGGAAGTGAGGGGCCAGGGTAAGGTCTCTGTTAGGACTCTCTTGTTCTTTTACAGGAGTTCCTCTCTCTCTCTGCCTCCTTACTCTCCCAAACCGCCCTGTTACCCTAATGACTCTCGAATGGTCTCATGTGTACCGTACGCGGTTTGTGTCTGTATGTATCGTGTGTATTTTGTGTGTGCAGAGTACAGTGAATGTGCTTGTAAGTTTGTGCACACCTCTTCTCTAAACGTGTCCCTTCACCTCTGTTTTTTTGTATTTCTCAACCACAAGTTTCCTTCCAGGTTTGCTGTAAGCTGCTTTCCAAGCTTCGTCTGCCTGCAAAACCAAAAACCAATCGCATATTAAGATCAAACATTTGGGTCGCCCAACATATACAGTACCTCTGACTGGTTAACCCCATTGTTTAACCTGAATCTCTTTCCTTTTCTCTCTCTCTCTCTGTTGTTGAATACACATATATGCATACATATATGAGCATACCCTTCTCTATGTATGTATATATCTGTTTACTGCAGCTCAGTGTCAACTTAGGGTCTTCTCTCTTTCTCCCTGACATCCTCCTTGACTCTAACACTTTGGCCCATCTCTTTCTCTCTTCCTCCCTTCCTCTTTCTCTCTTTGTATAGGTGTCTATAGTCAGCCTTATAGCTAATGCGCTGGGCTACTCAGACTTGGGCCCCATAAAGTCCCTGAGAACTTTGAGGGCTCTCAGGCCCCTGAGAGCTTTGTCCCGGTTTGAGGGCATGAGGGTAAGATCCAGGGCTGCCCTATGCATGCCAGTCACTCTGTGAGAACACGACTGCATGCCGAAAATCACCATTGTTCAGAAAGCAGAACCACAGCTACAGAAGAATAAGCAAACCTATCAGGATTCTGGAAATCCAGCTGACATTGTTTTGGCTAAAGCTATCCTTCAAGTGCATGTATTTAAAAACTCTCCGCATGGACAGCCTTTTCAACATTGCGTCATGATGCAGCTGAAGTATGAAGATTTAGCTTCCTTTTATTGATTGGGGAGGAATTACAAAAAATACATATTTTCCCAATCAGTTGACAATCAATTGATAATCTTATAGCAACTTTTGGGGAAACTTATGGTTTTTAGAATAAAGACGAGAGGGTATATTATGTAAAGCTGCCTCATCACAACCATTCATTCTGTTGTTCAGTTCTTTGTTAATTTATTTTGAAATCTGGCCAAGATCGCTGACATACATGCAACTAAATTAGATTAGGGCCTCCAATGCTTTTTCAAGCATCCAAATATCTAAAAAGTTCACATTTGCACAAATCGTCTTCTAACCTGAACCCTGGTCCACATATCGTCTTCACCTTGCTCTGTTCTTTCAACCCACTATGTAGACTGATTTCTGTAGTCTTAAGGCCGGTCAAACTACACTTTGACCTTATTGACTTCTATTCATACCCATATGAATGTGGGAGAAGGCATATATAAATGCTCATGAAGTTATTTCTCATTTTGAGTGGTTTACAGAGATCTCTCCAAGATTCCAAAAAGTCGAGTAGACATCCCACATAGCAAAATTTCCCTGGCCCTAACAATCAGGTTTTACTTGGCCCACATGCCACAGTGAATTACGGTACATGGCTGGACCAAGTCTGGCTTCGAGACAAGGGCCAAACATGGACCATAAATGGGCCAAGTCTCAGCCAAGTTAATAACTCATAACTGGGCCTGAACTGGGCCAGATAGGTTGGTGTGTCACAATTTCAATGAAATAGGTAAACACATAAAGCATTGCGCTTTTGGCACACTATAGGCGTGCTTTCCCCCATAGCAAAATATCTCTGGCCCACACAACCAGCTTTTGCTTGGCCCACATGCCGCAGTGAGTTACCGTAAATAACTCGACCAAGTCTGGCTTCCAGACAATGGCCCAGCATGAACTGTATTTGGGCCAAGCTTCAGCCAAGTTGATAACCCATAACTGAGCCTGAACTGGGCCAGATATGTTGGTGTGTAACGACTGCAATGAAATTGATAAACCCATAAAGCATTGCCTTTTAGGTGAGCTATATGGGCGTGCTTTTTCTTGAAGTGACCTGATTTAAAAATCCTTTCCTTTATTTAAAAATAATTAAAATGTATTTTAAATGTGGGTCAAGATAGGCCAAAATTACATGGCCCACATATCCATTATTAGCATCTGGGCCAAATACTACATTTGATATGTGGCCCAAGTATTGTGTGCCGCCTTAAAGACGTTGCTACTTCTGCCAAACCCAGGTCATGTTTGGCCCAGATGCTGTATGCTAGTGCCGGATGAATGCCTGCTGTGCCAGCTTTATGCCACATCTGGGCCAGAATTATTTGCTACCTGGGATGAATGTGACATTATATGACAACTGTAATAATTTCTGGTGTAATTTTGTATGCTCAAAGTCTAGTGTGATCATGACTTTACTCCAGCCATTAGCAAATTCTTCGGAAAAAGCCACCACATTGTTTTTTCTCAAGGTGTGCCATTATAAAATATTCCTGTAAAGCTCTTTAGGTTTATACAAATCTATGATTTAAATGTTTCATTAGCCACCTTTTCACTCTCAGGCCAGTTTAAGCCAGGACTAACAACAGCCCAGAGAGAACCAGTAGATTGCCCCATTCACACGAGGCTTCAGCGTCAACGCTAGACAGAGGGAGTGTGTGAAGTTGAGGCTGACATAATCGTCATAGCGGCATTAGCCAATGAAATTAGTCAGCAATAGGCCACTATCTTAGCTGGTGTATTTGCATACAGCGATCTGATTGGCTGAAGATTCCGTCGCCGCTTAAAAAGTTGAGATAGTCCCCACTTCTGCAGTGAGCAACGCCACTGAAGCGGCGCCGACAGATCCACAATGCAGTTCTGCAACGCCTGACATCATCCATTTAAAGTGAATGGTAATTGTTGAAGCTGATGCCCCGTGTGAATGGGGCGTAACTTCCAGCACTGAGGCCAAAATCAGACTGCATTTCCACTGTTGCATTGGCCATGCAGAGCTATTCCGAAAGCTACCATGTAGACCTGTAGACATATAAACAGGAAACTTTATGAGCATTTTGTCTACATCACATGAGTTTGAGTCTTCTCTCTCTCATTTCACAATACTAATATTCTTTCAGCCAGATAAACTCACAGATAAAGAAGTCCAGTATAAGAAAGGTACAGGGAAGAGTTAAAAAATTAAAATAAATACCGATATATGTTTTGTCAAATTTGTCTATTAGGGCAGCTGTTAGCACAAGTAGCCTTTAGCAACTCTCTACCACATATGGTGATCCAAACCTCTATGATGTTCAAAAGTGAGCGATAAGCTTTGTTTGAAATGTCTTAACCTTTGACGATAGCTGGTAACCTAAATGAAATTATGGGAAATAAGCAGAAATGCTGGCCATCTTATAGTAAATTTGGGAACCCTGCAGGCTCCAATTCGCCCAATGTATTTGGCGGCCAAAAACCCCTGGCTGTTGGCCTTGAGGAATCCCTGACGAGCCCAGATCAAGCCCCAAAAGAGACATTTGAGACAAGACTGGCCCTGGCATACACTAGCACACTTGCTTTTGGCGAGACAGTGGATAAGCGGATATTGATAATTGATACTTGAAACTAGACTATTGCAGCCAAAACATTCTTTTTTTTCCCCAAATCCCAAGTTTTGGAAGTCCTTTTCTTTGTACCGAGTGGTTTCATCTCTTTGGCATTGCATTTCATGTAGAATGCATGTTCTTGAAGGTGGAGTCAGAAAGTCTTGTTCCCCCATTGGTTTTGCTGTTGCTAATCCCTGAGATTACATAACCATCTCATTGATTGCTGTATATACCAAGCTTATTTGCTGAGGAAGCTCCAGTGCATGCCTGGAGTATATACAGATCAGATTTCACTACCAGAGCATTATTATTTTAGAGAATGTTTGATTCATTTTCTTAACGATAATTAATGTAAGTTGCCCTAAAAAGCCTGAACTAAAATTAAGGATGCTGATCTGTGTAAGGATCACTAATTAAAGAGTTAGTGAGATCCCCGACATGGTTAATTATCTGTGCAAATGTATAAAGGGGGAGCAGGGCATGTCTGCTGCTACAATTAAGGCTCTGCATGCACCGCTACCGCCTGACCATTTCTGACATCACAGCTTTTATGTGTCTCATTTATGGGAGGTGAGAGGGAGGGTGGGAGTCTTCGTCTGCAGTGTCTCTCTCTACATTTCAATCACGAATGGGATGGTAGTTTTCCCTTTAATATCTGGGTTCTTTCATAACTCTTAGCAGTGAACTAGTATGGCAAGAGAAGAAATGTTTCAGCTGTTAAATATGAATGAGTAATGATTCACTGAAAGTTCAAACTGTACAATTTTTAATTGCAGATATACTCTGGATACAGGCAGTGTTTTGCTTCTGTTTGATTCTTACTTCTTGGTATAGTCTTGTCAAGGGTGAAATTGCAACCCATTCATATTTCTGAGAACTTCCACTAGTCATATTTACAAAATAATAATAAGATAATACCCTTATCCAGTCATATCAATGTATAACAGGATTAATGACTGACAATTCATGAAAGCAGACAGAAGCAGAGAATGATATCCAGCGTGCAACTCACAGACCTGGAGAATCAGTGATTCTGTTCTTTATGTTTGAATCTTGATTTAATTAGATACTATTTAAAACAGCCATACTGGTTTACATGTACATCATCTTAGAATTAGTTAGTAGATTGTACTGTATATTTGTGTATTTATCTCCATGCTCTTATACACACTTATACTAACAAAAATAGATTTTTGAGTAAATTATTAGTGCTCAAAACAGATGAATAATTGTTTCATTAGAACATTAGAACATTTTTTCACATTCTGTTTAATTTGATGAATATGTCAGAATTAAATGACTTTAATCAAAGTCTCATTAAGGCAAGTAATTTCACTCCGTGGCCATCTTTGAAACGCCTCTCGGGCAGTGTGCTCATTCTGTCTGAATGGGGAAATATCAAATTCTCCAAAACTGTTTGCCAAGCTTATGATTAAATTACATATTTGGAATTACCAATAAAATTAAACATCGGTCTCATAAGTTTAATTTCTAAAATTTTAATCAAACAAAATCATCATTTTTACGGTGCCCAAGCTAATGCGCACTCAAAAGGAATGAGACCAAAACACCAACCTCATTTACTGCTGTTCTACACATTATCACCTCTAAATAATGATGGTCTGATCGTGCTGGTCTTCTGAAGTAATTCACAACTTGCTCTTAATGGTGAATCTCCTCCAGAATTGACAGCGACTCTTTGTTTACAAGTTTGTGGGCGTTTGAGTAGTTGCTGTCATGTGATGTATGTATGACAGGATGGACTGTACCTCGAGTTTGATTCATATAGATTACAAAACAAAAAAAATTGAGAAAGTAAAAAATGTAAAAGTAGAGATTTTAAGCTTTATTTAGATTTATTACTTACATCTGTGAATCAACTATTCGCTGAGATTTTGGTGTGTTTGTTGATCACAAACCTGTCTAGTGTATAGATAAAACCTGTCTGTCAGTCTATAGCGATTGATGATTGGTTTCTGTACTAGTAGGGTGAGGCCAAGCTAGAGTGCTAACTCTGATCCCCCCGGCTCTGCTATGGTTGTGGAAATTAAAAGTTAAAACAAAACAAACAATTACAATTGTCTTAAGATTGGCAATAAAAATTTGGAAATTGCAACTAGCAGACCTTGGGTATTTAAAAAATATAAATAAAATCCTGTACTAGTAGGCGTGGATTCATTTACCATATTGACTGTTACAATTTTCCCTATTCAAAACTATAAGTGACATGTCTTGTGTATTCTATAGTTTTTGCTTTAGTACATTTTGACAGTGGCTTACTGAAAACACCCAAATTAAAGGTCATTTAAAATCTTTCATATTAAGATTTTTTTTTGTCTCTATCCTATAGACAACTAGGTTTTACTGTAACTACATTATTTGTCAACAAGACATTTCAAATATTTTAAAATATAGTTTTATACACTTGAATGTGTACAGGTTAGAAAAATTATGTTATTTAATTTTTTACCTAAATTGAGCTGTATTTAAATGATGATCAACCACTATTTCATTCATATTTTGATGCTTAATTTTCAGGAAAGTTATTTGAAACTTAAAAGTTGACAATTGTATTTTTATGTATATATTAAAATATAATAATATATTATTACAGTATATAATTATAATATACTATAATTATAAAAGTTTGTAGAATATTATATTATATAATTATAATATATTATAATGAAAAACTTTTGTAGATTTAAATTCATGTAGATACCAAAATGTGATGAAGAATTCTATATATAGCTTATTTGTCATTATTAAACAACTGACAACAAAAACTAAATACTGTTGTCATGGAGATAAATTTTTCTTTGTCAAAGTATGTCATGTGAAAATGCGATTAAAATGAGCTTGGAGATATATACATTAAATGCTGGTCATTGGCATATCAAAATAGCTCAGTTTTGGTACATTACTCTAATACTTTTTCTGTCTTTTCTTGCCCACTTCCCCCGATTCTGTTGTTGTTTTTTACCCTGTAGGTTGTGGTGAACGCTTTGGTGGGTGCCATTCCCTCCATCATGAATGTGCTGTTGGTGTGTTTGATCTTTTGGCTGATCTTCAGTATTATGGGTGTCAACCTGTTTGCTGGAAAGTACTATTACTGCTTCAACCAGACTGCAGAGGAGTATTTTCAAGTCGACGTTGTCAATAACAAGACCGAATGCTTTGCACTCATCAATGCAAACTACACAGAAGTTCGCTGGAAGAACGTAAAGATCAATTTCGATAATGTGGGCGCAGGTTACCTGGCACTCTTGCAAGTGGTAAGACATTGTCCCTGTGTAAAAATTCTCTGAATACCCACTAACATCCCAGTTCTTAATGCTTGATGAGTAAACCAGTCTCTTCATGAATTCACAAATTATAAACACAAACATACAATTAAATATTAATGACTACCACTGTGGATTGAGCTAGTTGTTTTTCCATGACATAGGCTACATTCAAAGGCTGGATGGACATCATGTATGCTGCTGTGGATTCCAGAAAGGTATTTTTCTACTGTACATATTATATTTCTTTGCAAATGGAGACCCAAATTCGATTTATAAACACTTGATTTAGGAACTAATGATATACCATGAAAGTAGAAGAGTGTTTAACAAAATAAACCAGGCAATTCATCAAAATCCATTTGTTTCCCTTTATTAAATCCCTACATTAATTCAGTAAAAAAAGCTAAATGTTAGGCTTCCAGTTAAAAATGAATTTAGATGAATCTGAAAGTGTTCTCTAATTTTGTTTTTCCAAATATATCATTTAAGCTTTTTATGTTGTGCTTCAGAATATTTACAACTCATCAAATATCCTTTAAAATGTTCTTTTAATTCTGAACTTTATTTATGAATTTATTTAGTGGCTTTGTCTTGCTAAGTCTCTCTCTGCTTTTTGTTGGTTGCAGGTTGAGGACCAGCCCCTTTATGAGGACAACATCTACATGTATATATATTTCGTCATCTTCATTATCTTTGGGTCCTTCTTCACCTTGAACCTGTTCATTGGTGTCATTATTGACAACTTTAACCAACAGAAGAAAAAGATAAGTGTTCAGTCCATCTTTTTTTTTGTGCCTCTTCTCTATCTTTGCTCTCTCCATATATCTTGTTATCTCCAGTTCTGTGCATATTTTAGTAAGGTATAGTGACTAATAGTAAAAACGAATGGTTTTCAGCATAATGACTAACTTAGGCTATGTGGAATCAGTCGGTATCAATAGTGGTATCAATTTTGGTACAGCCTGTTGTGGTGATTTGTAATTGACAATGGACGTCTGGATGCAATGATCAAAATCAACATCTGACACTGTATCAGAAAAAAAGATCATGCAGCCATATATGATTAAAACTGTCAAGATTGTAACCAGTCTTCTTTTGTCCCTTTACTTTGGAGGTCAGGATATCTTCATGACAGAAGAACAGAAAAAATACTACAATGCTATGAAGAAACTGGGCTCAAAGAAGCCACAGAAACCCATCCCTAGACCTCTGGTAAGCACACAGATATACAATGTTTATTGTAATTCCCCCTGAATTATAAGCGCTCCTGTTTATTTTTTTCCCTAATTTCTGTTAAATGAAGTAAAGATTGTTTCAGCACATTTCTAAGCATAAAAGTTTTAAAAACTTATTTCCAATAACGGATTTATTTTATCTTTGCCATGATGACAGTAAATAATATTTTACTACATATTTTTCAAGACACTTCTATACAGCTTAAAGTGACATTTAAAGACCTAACTAGGTTAATAAGGTGAACTAGGCAGGTTAGGGTAATTAGGCAAGTTATTGTTAACTTGCCTAATTACCCTAACCTGACTAGTTAACCTAATTAACCTAGTTAAGCTTTTAAATGTCACTTTAAGCTGTTTAGAAGTGTCTTGAAAAATCTAGTAAAATAGTATGTACTATTATAATGGCTAAGGTAAAATAAATCAGTTATTAGATATAAGTTATAAAAACTATTATTTTTAGAAATGAGTTGAAAAAATATTCTCTCCAGTAAACACAAATTAGACAAAAAAAAAAAAAAAAAAAAATATATATATATATATATATATATATATAAATATATATATATATATATATATATATATATATATATATAAAGCCCTCATAGTTTACTGACAAGCTTTGTACTGTAAATATTGCTTGATTTTAAAATAATTAAAGGAAACAAACACTGCCTACTATCTATGATTATTTATTAACATCAACGTTAAATAACTAAAATTAAAACATACATTACCTAAAATCAACAGCCACTTTTTTCTAATAAAAAAGTAAAAATAAATAGCTTGCACGTTTGGAAATAAATTTAATTATTTTCAAGTATAAAATAAATAAAATAACTCTTGTATATCCTGTAAATAATATTTTAAATTTTGCATTAACTGCATTTTATGTAAACAAATATTTTAATGTAAATAATAATTATAATGTAATGGAAAATATGCCCTCTTAAGGCATCTCTGGCGCAGCTTCCAATTATCGTCAATGTAGTGTAAAGAAAGGCTCAAGAGTGGGTCCATCGTCCTACTTAACCAGAGATCAGATGTGGCTGCAAAATGGCTGGATGAGTTTAAAACAGCCATTAAAAAAAGGCTTAAAAGAGCGGTTCATGTAATTCCATGTACGGTAGGAAAAGTAAGTTAAAAACTAGATTGATTCTAGGTTCTGAATGTCGATTTCGATTACTTTTTAATTAATCGTCCAGCCCTATTTACATTTGAATACATTTTAAAATATTAATTCAACAGTTTTACATTTTCATTTGTCAATTGACTAAATTTATTTATTATATTACATTTAGCTACATTTATAAAAGTTTAAAATGGTATTTTAACTATTGATTTGTAATGTCATTTTTTATTTTATGAATTTCTTTAGCTTTTTTTATTATTAGATGAAGTCGCACTTCTAGTCCACTGTTGTAATTGTGCGCCAATGTGTGTTTTCTTTCTCATAGAACAAAATCCAGGGGATGGTATTTGACTTTGTCACTCAGCAGGCCTTTGATATTTCCATCATGATGCTCATCTGTCTTAACATGGTAACCATGATGGTGGAAACAGATGATCAGTCAGACGAGACAGAGAACATCTTGTATTGGATAAACTTCGTATTCATCGTGGCCTTCACTGGCGAGTTCGTCCTGAAACTCTTTGCGCTGCGACACTATTATTTCACCAATGGCTGGAATGTCTTTGACTGCGTCGTTGTCATTCTGTCCATTGTGGGTAAGTGCTGTGTCTAAATGTTTTTTTCTGTTTTCTAAAGTACCCAGCATGAACTAGTACATCCTGACAGATTTTTCCTTTAAATTACCTTTCTATGGGATCTTATACAAAAAGATATTTGTGCAGATCTGTTTTTAAGTTCTGTTTTAAGTCAATTAGTTAGTCTTACTATTCTATCAAATTAAGTTAAGATCGTGGTGCAAAAAAATGAGTACACCCCAATTAGGAGAACTCAGAACATAACATTTGAATTCACCAGCAGATGAGTCAGATCAACTCCCACTTACTGCAATGCTGACACAATGACATCAAATGGAAAAATGCCACAATACAAGTGTCACTTTGATAAGGAAGGACAAAGCTATAGGAAAGCTTTGCTAGTAAGTATGAAAAATGTTGCTGTATGATAAAAAATAGAATTTTGGGACGATTGCTGGGAAATATAGGTGTCTAACTGAAGTTGGTACAGATGGCTGAATCATTATAAAGTCAAACTGGGGTGATTGTTTCCTTTGACTTGATATGACATACAGGTACAGCATTTACAGGACTGACATCCATGGCTGTGGTTTATGATGGAAGCCACTCCTGATGCCCCTAGGCAAAAAGCCCATCTAGTATTTGCGAGGGCTCATGTTTGACAAAAGCAAAGACTACAGGGACTTTGTATTTTGAAGGGATCTGAAAGAGAATAATCTATTTGGCTCTGATGGGTTCCAAACTGTTTGGAATCTCAAGACAAAATGCAACTGTAAAGCATGATGGTACCAGTGCTCTTGTGAAGGGTTGAATGAGTTCTGCAGGGGTCGAGGAGCTGTATTTCATAGATTGCAGAGGAGATGAAAGAGAAGATGATGTCATCACTTCATGTTCTACGCTACCAAAAACCCATTCAAAAGGATTATGATCCAAAACTAACACCCAAGGTCACTGGTTCATTTCCGTGGAAGAACAGGGTAAAAGAGATTCAGTAAAAGCATGTCCTCAGACCTCAATCTAACAGAACACTTTTAAGGAGTTTGAAAAGACAAGATGAATGTCGTTCTCCATCCAGGATCTGAAATAGAGACTAGAGGAATGGAGAAAAAAGGTGTTGCTTTAGGTCATCAGTTAGTTCATTGAAAGTCTAGCAGAATTAGTTCAATTATGAAAAATCAATGAAGCCATATAAAATATTAGATTTAGCTGAGATTTGTTATCAGTTGTAAACATTTTTGTAACAACTTGTTTGAACTCCATGTATAATTTTCACAAGATCATATTCTTGTGTTAATAAAAATAAACCAAAATTTTAAAGGGGGTGTACTCATTTATGCTGGGCACTGTACATTTTGTAAGGTTTTGTAATGTGTTTTCGCTTGGTTTTTCAGGTATGTTCCTGGCAGACCTCATCGAGAAATACTTTGTCTCACCAACTTTATTCAGAGTAATCCGTCTGGCTCGAATCGGCCGAATCCTGCGTCTGATTAAAGGAGCCAAGGGCATCCGGACATTACTGTTTGCTTTGATGATGTCACTTCCTGCTCTGTTCAACATTGGCTTATTGCTTTTCCTAGTCATGTTCATCTTCTCTATCTTTGGCATGTCCAACTTTGCCTACGTGAAGAGAGAAATAGGAATTGACGACATGTATAACTTTGAAACCTTTGGCAACAGCATGATCTGTCTATTCATGATCACCACATCAGCTGGCTGGGATGGCCTGTTGGCTCCTATCTTGAACTATCCGCCTGACTGCGACCCTAATAAAGAGAACCCAGGAACCACAGTTAAGGGCAACTGTGGCAATCCTTCAGTGGGAATCTTCTTCTTTGTAATGTACATTATCGTGTCTTTCCTGATTGTGGTGAACATGTACATCGCTATCATCTTGGAGAACTTCAGCGTTGCCACCGAAGAGAGTGCGGATCCACTGTGCGAAGACGACTTTGAGTCCTTCTATGAAATCTGGGAAAAGTTTGACCCCGACGCTTCCCAGTTCATCACCTTCGCCAAGCTGCCAGACTTTGCGGATACATTAGAGCATCCCCTCCGTGTGCCAAAGCCAAACATCATCGAGCTGATCGCCATGGACCTGCCCATGGTGAGCGGCGACCGCATTCATTGCTTGGACATTCTGTTTGCCTTTACCAAGCGCGTGCTGGGTGACAGCGGTGACCTGGACATGATGCGACAGCAAATGGAGGAGCGCTTTGTGGCAGCCAACCCGTCCAAGGTGTCATATGAGCCCATCACCACCACACTACGGCGTAAGCAGGAAGAGGTGTCAGCCATCGTGATCCAGAGATCTTACCGGTCCCACCTCGCGAGCAGGGGCTTCATCTGCAAACGCAGGCCTGCCAACAACAAACTGGAGAACGGTGGGGGCAATCAGGAGAAGAAAGAGGGCACACCTTCCACTGCATCCCTGCCATCCTATGACAGTGTAACCAAGCCCGAGAAGGAAAAGCAGGACGACAACAACGAAGGCAAGGGCCGCAAGGAGAAAGGCCGAAACCAAAAAGATGTCAGGGAATCTAAGTGTTAAGACTGCTGCGGTAACACTCATGGACAGTGATAATGATCATGCCGATATTTATAACAAAAAACTGTCATTTCAAGCGAATGGAAACCCTGAATTAACTTATACAGATGTACAGATTAATTTCATTTAAGGGGAAAAAACAAAGCCGAAGTAACACGACAAAAAATTGTTTACAAACGTCACTGGCGTATCGAGGCGGCGAAAAGTGTTGGGGTTCCTCAAAGCTTGAAGACTCTTACAAGTTAAACCAAACATAATCAGCTTCCTGTGTGACACTGTTGCATCAAGACTTGATTAAAACAGTATCAAATACGAATTTAAAAAGACCGATACTTGATCAAGTGTATTTTAGAGGGCTATATTGCGCTTCAGTATGGAACTCTTCACCGAGCAGGAATGTGATAATCTCCAAGGGAAAACCAGGATGGAATCCCATGCTTCTGAACTGCGTCGGCGAACTTTCCATGCAGAAAACAAACACTGCTATTCATGAAAGAATCAGCTTCCCGAAGCGGAGGGCGAAGGAGTCTGCACCGTTTCATTTCACATGTGTAAGAACTCTGTGAGAGTGAGCAGGATAGACATGAGTGTGAAACAAAACCAAGAGTCTGGCTGATTCCAACGGTCTCTTTGCGTTTGTTAGTGTCGAATATGTTTTACATGGTCTTTACATTATTTGAGCGGCAAAAAAAGGAGGAGAAGCAGGAGGAAAAAAAACGAATTAACATTCAACATTTTGCCCATGTCACCCTCAGTAACTGTGTCATGATAACTTTGTTATACCTGCATCAAAAGGCTTTTTCTACATGGGCTTTCACACCGATAGGACCGGGGGCAATAACCAGGGGCCCCCAATACACATCTCCAAATGAATAATAAATTATTGTGCTTGTTCAATGCATAGAAATGACTTGCATGGTGGCATGTTTTGATCAGAAATTTTGCATGAGTAATCATAGTCCACAAAACACTAATACAGACCACCACAGTGGCTTGACAATGTTTTAGGCTGTCCACTGGCTAAATTGATGACCAGAAACCAAATTCAATTTGATACTGAGAAAAGCCAATTGGGCCTGAGATGCAAAACCTGCATCTTCACCTCGATTATTATCAAACACTAGGACAGAATTTGGGATTGGCTTCAGATGGTGCAAATGCCTGTGACTAATCAATGGCTTATGTACTTTGAAACAATACTAGAAGTGTGGCACATTTTGGAAGAGGACGAGTATAGTGGACATCCCATTTTTTGCTGCTCAGGAGATAATGAATGGGAAAACTCAAATGTTGGAATGTATGCGTATGGAGACAGGAGGGAAATGAAACAAAAGATAACACTGTAATTCCTAAAGCTTCTTATTTTATTTGTATGCAGCAATATCGCTTACCTCACCTACGGCACTGCCCGCTCTGCGGGACATATGGTAGGTGGGTCCAGGGAGGGGCAAGAGGGTGGGGCGGGGGGGGTAAAGGTTTGGGCATTATTAAGGGTGTAGCAAGTTGGTTGGCATTTTAAATCCTCATCATCAGGGGTTAGATGAGATGAGCTATAACCGTTTTTGAGAAAGTGGCAGATTTTTATTTTGGAAAAACAGAATTCTTTTTCGTTTGATTTTGACATGCTGTTTTACTTTCGGTGAGTTTTGCAGAGTGTCTATGTCTAGTCTCGTCCTGGATCGTCAGGATGTTTTTATCTGTGTTTAAAGCCATCACATCTTCAGCAATGGTTTGATTGTAGCCAGGACACACGGATAGGACTTGAGAGAGACAGCGGGAAGTCACGGCTGTTTAAGGAGAAGCCAAAGATATTTGTCTGGTTAATTGGTGTGTGCAATTTGTGTCTGGAAGTTTCTGGAATGTCCTCAGGAGGGGAGCGATCCTCTCCTGCTTAACACTTTCAGACAGACTGATGCTTGTTGACTTTCCCCATTATTCTCAGGATACAACACAGATGTATCACGTGACTCTGATGTCATCAATAAGGGCCTTCGCTGGCTCCGGAGAATGTTTGTTATTGGGGTAGAGCTAAAGCAGGAGCTCTCCCACCACACTGAACTCTCACGCAAAGAGAAGAGTAGGGCTATCTGACACATAGCCGAGCTTCCGAGATTTCAGGCTGGAATGAAAACGTAACGATGAGATGGCATCCAGACTGAGAGTAGTTCTCAGCATTGTTCAATGGAGGGCCTTGGTTTTAAACGTGCAGTTATTCGACCCCTGGTCAGCCTTTTTTCTCATCACACTAATGCCAAATAACCATTCGGCACTGGTCCCACAGCAGCTTACTGTGAGCCGGGCAACTCCACACATCAGAGCGACTACATTTTCAGTTTCTTTTAGTGACGTCAGCGGTTTTTCCTTACCCTTCATCTGGTGTCGATGGTCCAGTTGCTGCATGCGAGGGTGTTAACCAAAAAATAAATAAAAAATAACAAATAAAAAAAAAAACTGCTCAGCAAAGCTCAACCATTCTCATTTATGCAGCCATGCAGGCTCGACTGTATAAACGAAACACAAAAAACAAACACCAGATCATTCGTTTCGATGAAAAATCTAGTTTAAAAAACATGTTGTACAGTATAGGCTATGTTGTAAGCAGCACAAAATGCTGAAAAGTTAAGAATGAACTTTTTAAGAGATTATAAATAATGTAATATATAATTTTATTTTAACGGCATGCATAGTTTTTTGTAAATACGGAAACACTTTAAAAAAAAGTACTGCTATCTAATACTGAAAATGAATTATAACCTTAATAGAATGGCTTCACTCATTGCCCTGGTCTCACTAGGTAGACTGACATATTTGTTAGAAGGTGTAGATTTTTTTGACACACTTTTCACATTAAAGAGGGGAATCCAATATATGTTAAATGCAAAAAGTATATATAAATCTATACATAAATCAAGGCATATATAGAGCTATAGATCATATGTATCTGTCTATACATGTATATGTAGATGTGTGTGCGCATACATATGCATATGTATGTATATATACGATATGAGAGCACTGTCCTCCTCTGTTTTGACCTCTGCTTGGAGTGGAGGGGAAGCACTTCTGGCTGTCATTTGCTCACGTTCTTCTTTCTTTCGTGCAATACGTTCGATGAACGACCAAAACTCTGACCTGGCCCACACAGTGTGTGCTTGTGTGTGTGTAAGATGTTTGGCTTTGAGAGAGTGAGGACTGTGTGTGTGCACGGGTCTAGCTTTCAATGCACGGTAATGTACTGGCTGCTCGCTATGGCTTATGTCGCCTGTTTTTGGGAGGGGAATGCACTACCAGCAATTCATTTACACCCTGTGTGAATACGTCCTGCCATCTCCAACTCACATACTACGTACATATGCACTGGACGCCACATGTTCTTCCCTCATAAACCCTGTTTTCATCTTCCGGCCTATTCGCCAAAATTATGCCATGATCTGTCTGTCCGAGTCTGAAAGAGCAAGCGTGTGTGTGTGTGCGCGCGAGTGTATGGGGGTAGGGGAAAGGGGATGAAGAGTGTGTGACGGTTTGGTCACTTTAATTGTGTGTGATGCAGTTTGACTTGAGCTTAGCTTGTTCCTCATCTCTTAGATACACAGCAATGCAATTTGCAGTTTTAGGTTTGGTTAGGCTTTATATTATGCTTTTCTTGTCTTTGTATGTTTGTTTAAGGTGCCTTTTGCTGCCAATTTTGTTTGTCGAAAAAGTAGATGATGTTGCATAATATTCTCCTAAACAAGTGGAGCTTGTTTCAAATGAGCACTAGGAGAAAGAACTGTACTAAAGAATGTCTGTGACATCTAATAAAAAGCAAAAAAATGAACAAAAAAAAAGACAAAAGACCAAAAAAAAAAAGTCTAAAAAGAGCAAAAAGGAAAAGAAAAAAAAGAAAACTTAACTGGCATCAGCCTGACTTCATCATCAGAGATCGTCAAATAGCATGGGGCAGGAAATGGAGTGCGTCGGTCACTCGATGAATCTCTTGAAGGTTGAGTCTGTAGAAAGAGAAACAGTTTGCCTTCTGTGCTCAGCTTCTGTTGATTTTCAGCCACTTCTTTTATTTTTCTATAAATACTGATTTCTGTCTGTTCTTTTGTAGCATGACTGAGATGCTATTTCCTTCATTTGCTGACAATAACTCAAGTGGTTTTTGGTTCAAAATGTTGTTCTTATCTCTTGCCACTGATGTTGGAGAGGAGAGGGTGTGTTGCACAACCACTTGACTTAGTGAGAATCAGTGAAAGATTGTCTTCATTTGAGCACGAAACCTTTTCCAAACAATAAAGCAGCCTTCCAGTTAAGCTTGAGTGCTTGTGTTTTTTTTTCTTTCTCAGAAGGATATTGAACAATGCCCAGTAGCCTGTATAATTTTGGGGTGTGTGAGAACATTCACCTTTTCACTATGAAAATAGTCATTATACTGACTTTTTTTCACATTAAAAAAACAAGCATAAACTCATACAAAAGTAAACCTTTTGATCCACTAAAAATGTGGTGGAAGAAAAAAGTGATCATGTCCGCACACAGATGAACCAATTTAAATAAATCTTTCATCAGTTGGGCTTTTAATTTACCTTACTATTCCAGAATAGAATAGTAAAAACAAGTCTCATCTTCTCTTGAAGCCCAAAATTATATTTTATTTTTGCATTGTCAAGTTCCCATTTGATAGCATGCGCACTAGAGATTCATCAAGGGTCTCTTTTCTTTCCAAAAGATGTGTGATAAAAATGTCTTTCTCTTTAAATAATTGAGTTGTTACCTTTATATCCCTTCGTGCATGCAATCGTCAGCATAGCAGTCTATTGTTTGTGTCGCTTCACTAGGCTATGTTGTCTACAGAGACTTTATTTTCTTGTTTTGCAGTTAGTTTTCTGGGCTCCAGAGATGTCAAGTGGCCTTTATGGCTCGAATGTCAGCGGGACTGTATTCAAGAAGGTGTCCTGCCTCCAAAACAATAGACTAACTTGACAAACTTGACGATGAAGCCTATGCAATGCTAATTACAG